TTTGATTAATTCGGGTTTCCTGCGTTGTTTTAGGTGTTTTAAGGATTGGTACAAGTTCGAATAGGTATTAGGTGGTATTGGTGCTTTTGGTTGAGGTCCCGGGGGCCTCGGGATGATTTCGGGTGGTTGACGGAAAAATTTTGAAGTTGAATGAATTGCTAAAGGTTCTGTCATCTGGTATTTCCGCTTCTGCGGCTTGGAAAGCGCAGAAGCGGCTGGTCCACCGCAGGAGCGAAATTCGAGTGCTTCTTCAGTTTCCGCAGGTGCGGAAGTTTAACCGCAGAAGCGGTTACGCACCTGCGAGATGGTAGTCGCAGATGCGGTCCTTGGGATTTTGTTTGAAACCGCAGAAGCGGTAATGAATCCGCATAAGCGGCAACCGCAGGTGCGGTGAAGGGGCCGCAGAAGTGGAAATCTTGACTTTAATGAAGAACCGCTGAAGCAGCTCGTGGTCCGCAGAAGCGGTCCCTTGTCCGTAGAAGCGGAAACCCCTGGTCAGAAATAGAGATGTCGAGGGTTTGAGTTCATAGGTTGCAAAAATCAATTGAGAGCTCGGTTTAAGGCGATTTCGAGTGGGATTTGAAGTGAAGATCACTGGGTAACGTTTCTTTGATCCCTTCTCGTTACATTTTATCATTTTATAGTTAAATACACCATTGGAATTCGAATTTAGGATCAAAAATTGGAAGAAACTTCATAGACCTAATTATTGAGTTTTGAGTGGGCAATTGACCTCCGATTTGGGAGATTTTTATATGGTTAGACTCGTGAGAGTACGAGGGTTCTGAAAATGTGAAAATTATTCGATTCCGAGACATTGGCTAGAGGGGCATTTTGGTCATTTTACCTATTTTTGCGCCCTAGCTGTAAATTTAATAGTGGAATCGGTTGTTTGCAATATTACTTACGATATGTAATTGAATTGAATAGATTTGGACCATTTGGAGTCGGATACTCGTGGCAAAAGTGTGATTTCGAGTTGATTTTGGTGCCGATTCGAGGTAAGTGGCTTGTCTAACCATGTGTGGGGGACCTTTCCCCTTAGGATTTGTTATTTGTTGATTTGAGTGCCTTGTTCGCGAGGTGACGGGCGCGTACTTGAGCCAATTGTTGAAAATCCGGCTTCCTTAAGATATTGAGATTGAGTTCCTTTCATATTTGCTTTATTCTACTTGAAATTATAACTTGTGCTAGATTAGAAAAGCATGCTTAGTTGATTTAACTTGCCTAATTGTTTAAGTTGCCTTGACTGTACTACGTAAAGCATGCTAGGCTAGTACTACCTGATGTTTGTTTTTGATACTCCATTTTTGAATATCTTCTGGTTGTGGTTGCGCATTTACATTGGGACTACGGATGTGGGATTCCGGTAGCTCCCCCTCCTTGTTTGTTTACTTTGGGACTGCTGGTTCGATTCCCGATTGATCCCCCTGTACATTACTTTGGGACTGCGGGTTAGATTCTCGATAGATCCCCCTGCACATTGATAGTTGGACTACGGGACGGTATCCCGGGAGATCCTTCAGATATACACATATGGTGGACTACGGGACGGTATCCCGGGAGATCCACTGGACAGTTGAGAAAAGGGCTACAGGACGGTATCCTGGAAGACCCTCATTGTTATCATTGATATTGAACTGTATTTATTCTGTGTTTACTCTATTCTTTTGTAGTTGTTATTGCCTCGTTGACCTACCTTAGTTCGCTGCTGTACTCATTATTTCTGTCAGATTTTCATACTGTTAATTATCATTATTATATTTTGCCTCAGTAGGGCCCTGACCTTCCTCGTCACTACCCAACCGAGGTTAGGCTTGGCACTTACTGAGTACCGTTGTGGTGTACTCATGCCCTTCCTGCGCATGTTTTTCATGTGCAGATCTAGGTACCTCTTCTCAGGCGCACTATCCTTGAGGCGATGAGATTCACGGAGACTTCGAGGTATATCTGCAGCGTCCGCAGACCGAAGACTCTTCTTCCTTATTCTAGTTGTAGAGCTGTTATCTGTAACGACCCGACCCGTCGTTACGGGAGTTACCGCCCCGTTTTCCCCGTTTTATGCTTCTATATGTTTCAATATATGTGTTTGGAGAATTTGAAGTAATTCGGATAGAGTTCGGTTGGAAATGAGACAATAAGTCTCTTTAGGATAAGCTTAGTTTGGAAAAGTCAACCGAATGTTGACTTATGAGTTAGAAGGCTCGGAATGGATTTTTGATGATTCGACTAGTTTCGGGGGATGATTTGTGACTTAGGAGCGCAATCAGAATTGAATTTGGAGGTCCGTTGTAGAATTAGGCTTGAATTGGCTAAGGTTGGATTTTGGCGAATTCCGGATGGTAGGTGAGATTTTGATCCGAGGGTCGGAATGGAATTCCGAGAGTTGCAGTAGCTCCGTTAGGTGATTTTAAATATGCGTGCAAAGTTTCAGATCATTCGGAGGTGTTTAGGTCGGGTTTTAGATCAAATGCAAGTTTCGGAAGTTTTAGTTTAACTTAGGCTTGAATCCGTGGTAATTCGATGATTTTGGTGTTTATGATAGTGTTTTTATGTTACGAGCAAGTTTGAATGAAGTAATAGAACATATCTGTGCATTTGGTTGAGGTTCCGAGGGCCTCGGGGTGAATTCGGGTGGTTAAACGAGAGTTTTGAGGTGTAATTGCAGGTCAGATTTTCTGTCATCTGGTGTTTCCGCTTCTGCGGAAATGGACCGCAGAAGCGGTACAGCAGAAGCGGGTACGTGGTCGCAGAAGCGGTCGTGGCCGGCTAGGGAAATTTCCGCAGATGCGGAAGGTGGCTCGCACCAGCGGGTCCGCATAAGCGGACAATGTGCCGCAGAAGCGGGTTTGAAGGAACCGCAGAAGCGGACTTCGCGTCGCATAAGCGAAGTCCGGGCATCTAAGTGAAAACCGCTTAAGCGGAAATGTGGCCGCAGAAGCGGTCCCGCATAAGCGAAAGCGGGACCGCAGAAGCGAAAATCGCTGGGCGACAGAAGGGTTTTAAAATAATATTTCAGCCGCGACCCTTTCATATTTTTCCTCCATTGTTGACGTTCTTAAGAGCTTTGAACAAGGAAATTCGAGGGTTTTGACTGAGAATCACTTGGAGGTAAGTTCCTTGGCCTAAATATTCGAATTTATGGTAGAAATTACATGTAAATTGTAGTGGAGTCCAGCGGGGTCTCTTTCATTGCTTTTCAGCTTCGAGGAGCCGCCTATGATTGGTGGCGTACTTATGAGTTAGACAGTCCAGTCGAGGCTGCTTCACTGACTTGGAACCAGTTCTCGGACATGTTTATGAGAGAGTTTGTTCCCCAGAGCCTCAGAGATTCATGGCGCGCAGAGTTTGAGCACTTGCGCCAGGGTGCTATGACAGTTTCAGAGTATGTCATCCGTTATACCAGGTTGGCCAGGCACGCACCGGCTTTGGTTGCTACTGTTCGAGAGAGAGTTTGCAGGTTCATTGAGGGCCTTATTCCGCCCATCAGGTCTAGCATGGCTCGAGAGTTGGAGATGGAAATTCCTTATCAGCAGGTAGTGAGCATTGCTAGGAGGATTGAGGGTATGCTCGCCAGGGAGCGAGGAGAGAGGGAGGCCAAGAGGTCTCGAGAGTCGGGTCACTACTATGGTGCCCGTACCCCATCAGCAGGTCGTTATGGCAGAGGTTATTCGGGTCGCCCTGTTCATTCAGCTCTTCCAGCAGCCGGCAGTACTCCAGCTCCGCCTATACCACAGGAGCCTTACTATGCACCTCCAGTTTCTAGCGCGCCTCCTGCGCGAGGTGCTTCCAGAGGTCAGCCCAGCAGGCCTAGTCTCAGCCAGTCACAGCCACCGCGTCCTCCCAGAGCTTGATTTGAGTGTGGTGATACACGCCACATGGTTAGGGACTGCCCCAGACTTGGTAGGGGTGCGTCTTCACAGGCTGCTCAGCCACAGCGTACTCCTCAGAGTTCTCAGGCCATGATCACAGCTCCAGCGGCTACCCCACCTGCTCAGCCGGCTAGGGGCGGAGGTCGGGGAGATAGAGGTCGCCCTCGAGAGAGGGGCCGGGCCAGATATTATGCTATTCCTGCTCGTACTGAGGCTGTTGCCTCCGACTCCGTCATTACAGGTATTATTCTGGTTTGTCACAGAGAGGCATCGGTTCTATTCGATCCGGGCTCTACTTACTCTTATATGTCTTCTTACTTTGCTCCGCATTTGGGTGTGCCTCGGGATTCTTTGAGTGCCCCCGTTTATGTTTCTACTCCTGTGGGAGATTCCCTTGTTGTGGACCGTCGTTTATCGGTCATGTTTGGTTACTATTCGTGGTTTTGAGACCAGAGCAGACTTATTATTACGTCGGTATGGTGGTATTTNAATGGGTACTTGTTTTTAGTGGTGACTTTCTTCAACTGGCGATAATCAATGCACATCCGCATAGTGTCAACTTTCTTCTTCACAAATAACACTAGCGCACCCCAAGGTAATACACTCGGCCTGCCGAACCACTTTCCTAGCAACTCCTTAATCTATTCCTTCAACTCATTCATCTCTTTCGGCCAAATACTTCGACGTCTAAGCATTAGGTTCTCTAGATGAAGCACAAAAGAGAAAGTTGTAGCGGCGATGCAAAAATATGGATGATGGGAAGCTCAGTTTTTGCACTTTCTCAGCATTTTAGTTTAATAACATAGAATTTTATGGATACATAGCTTGCACAACGCGTAAGTATCCATAATTTTGGTTCAGTTTAAGTTGACAAATTAGTTGTTTATCAGAAACGTGGTTTACTTTTGACTTTAAAGCACAACCAATAATGTAGCAGATAGCAAAATATATGGCAACGGCACCACATTCATTCGACATAATTAATAACTGAATTCATGAGTAATAAAGATAATATGATGTTGTATAGGTCGAGTCATTTCAGCAAATCACATATCAACAGCAGCACATTCATTCGACATAAGTACAAAATATATATTTGCATAGCTACAGGCATTTCAGTAAAGCCAATCAGAGATTCTTTTCTTTCTTTACGACTCTGTGAACCTTGTTGCTAGACAGTTGAGAATTGAAGTCATCATCTGCTCCTACTGCTGATGCCTTATTAGCGGATCTAGTCTTCTTGTCATATGTCTTCAAAGGGGATATTTTTGCATTGCAAGCATCTCCATCATCTAACACCGACGATCCACTTTCTGATACGCTTTTCTCTATTGGAGTTTGCAAAACAGACTTCAGCTGACTTTCGGCCATAAGATCCTTCGAAAAACCAAAACAATTTAATAGCAGTTGCAGAACCAATAAATAATGGCGTAAAAGTTTAAATTTCATGAAATTTACCCCGAAAAGCTTATCTCCACTTGAGCTTTGTCCATCCAAAAACTATGGATCCTGTTAAACAAAAATAAAAAAGAACGTTCATTCTATAAGTGGAAAAGTATTTATACATAAATTTTATATGATGAGGTTTGTGCGTTAAAAAAATTTTACATTCATATTGTCTTCGAATAAAGTATGGCCGTATTCCTTTAGAAGGTCATCATCATCAGTAAACTTAAGAACTTTGTAGACTTCGACCTGTGACTCAATATTCTCTTGCTTAACAATAACCTTAAACATGAATTTTTTATAAAGAATATCGTCCATTTCACTTGGATAAGAACAGTCAGCATCCGCAAGTGAAGTCTGCACCAAATTTCATAAGTTAGAAATATTTTTATGGTTAATCAAATTAACTTTAGTAGTATACCTCAAATAATCTTTCCTTATGTTCTTTTGCGGACTTTCCTATAAGTTGCATAGCTTCGCGATTCCAAAGAAACAATGAGATAAAAGCGGTTCCATCCATAACACGAACTTGAAGCCTATACCTGCAACTCATTTTTTATTAACCTTATGCATATTTTCTATAGATATAAGATTTTAAAAATTTCACTAAATAGTACTAACCTGTGAGTAACAGAAGATTCTTCTTCATTGCATTTGGCGCAAAAGTATCTATTTCCAACTTTTTCCACCTTTCGACTACACTTGTTGCATGCCAAGTATGACCATCCCCGGTCAAGTTCCAAATTAACCAATTTTGCCGCAATCCAATAGCTGGATTCCTATTGAGTAAAAAAGAAATAATTATTCTAAATGCAAAACAGAAAACATAAGGTAAATATAATTGAGAAAGTAAATTAAACTCACTTGCATGCACTGAACTAAATCCCTAATAGTTTTAAACAGTGCAATTCCTTTGTCTAACTCATCTCTAACAGAGTAACTTTGCTGAGAACTTGTTCAAGTGATTCGTTCAATGTTTGATTGACGTGCTGCAAGTAATCTGCATAAGTCAAAAATTGTAATTTATAATACTATTATTATATTTTCTGTACATATAGAAAAGGATTATACACTTGACAAACCTGGATTTAAATTCAATAGACTGCGGCAACGTAGAATTTATCCATATCTTTGTCTGATACCAACAGCTACGCACTGAGTAATCACCTGTGTGTCAAATGAAATATGAATAAAAATTTGAAATTAAAAATAATTTATACAGTACAAAAAAAATACATATAGTTTATGGTAAACCTCGATATTTTTGAGGTTTCATATGCTGGAAAACAACAATCAAAGGCTCATCGGCAGATTCATTCAAGTGATGTTGAATTTGATCCACAAGTCGCTCCATAATGTTGCCATAATCTTGTTCCTCCTATACGTTTCATGGTAACGTTAATAAACACATATATATGTAATCTATCAATAAACTATTTTTTCTATTTTTGAAGTACTTACTGATCATCTTCGAGTACAACATTAATAAGGAAACTTTGGTCGTCTCCCTGCTTGTACGTCTTAACATCTTCATACGTCACAACCTGACCAACAACATCTATAAATATAAAAGTTAGTGACATACTTTCACAAATAACATTTTTAACTTCATTTAAAATTTAAAAAAATAATACCGAGTAATTCTGTCTCATCGACATCATGTTGATTTGTTAGTTGGTCAAAAGGGCGCAAGTTAAAGATGTTCATATGAAATGAAGGATCATTTGTTTCCTCAACAAATGTCTTTTGAGTAAATGTCAGCCTCAGGTTGTGTGTCGTAGTCCTCAACTTCAAATTATTTGGTCCGACTACAAAGTAGTTCATACGATATAAGCGAAGTTCATGTATCTTGTTCCTAAAAAACTTAAGAACATACTTTCCGATTGTAGCATGTATACGATCACCCTGCAAATTCAGATTCATTATTAGTGCACAATTATGAAGCCAACAAATGTAAGCGCGTATATACTTTCATCACTGTGTAAACTTGTTAAAAGATGTAATGTCAAAAATCAGAATGCTACAGTTGTTGTATATCAATTATGAAGGCAACATTAGCAGACACAAAGCTGAAAATTGCATAAAAATCGATAGAAACACATCATTAGCATACACAAAGCTGAAAATTGCATAAAAATCGATAGAAACACATGAAAGCATAACTTACTGTTTATCTATGTCAATTTTTTGGATGAGAATGTTGAATTTTTGAAATTGGAAGAGAATTGCGATCACAGTGTCGATCGCCGCTTCTGCTGCTGCTGCAGCTTCTGGTTCTGTGGGATTAAAAGCGTAGGTATAACTTATACCAGAAGGGTATTTTCGTCCAGTCAGGTATAAGTTTATTAAACCAGTGGCTAAAGGCTAAATACATTGAAAACACTGGCTTTAAAATAAAAGCAGCTGCTTTTAGTGGCTATTTGTGCACTTCCGATGACAGGTGCAACTTGTGGAGCCCACAACTTCCTTACATCCGTCATTGCCCGCGCACTGCCACCTGTCAAACCATGCCTCTTCTCTCTCTTTCCTTCTTCTCTTCTTCCATTCCAAACAGTACACTAACTCTGATTAAAAGTTAAAACCATCTCAAAACTCGCAGTACAAATTGTAGAAACAGCAACAAAATCAAGCTAAGTCGGGTTTTCAGCATGAGTATGAGAAAAAGGGCGAGAACGAGCCTCTCGGCTCTTGTAAATGTATGGAAAAGAGAGGTCGGCGAAATCTCTACCAGAAACTTTGCTGACTCTCTCACTGCCTCTGAGGTTCGTAATTCTCTAGCTTTACTTTTTTAAGATGTTAAATGTTTAAGATGTTAGCTTGACTTATATTAGTGATCGTGGTAGAAAATGATAATGTATTATCAGTTGAAAAGTTAGTTTGGATGATAGGTATAAATTGTTTAGAATTCAAGTATTTTTCTGATGAAGTAAATTGTTCATTGATGGCATCAAGAAGATGCAGTAGTACAAAAGATAATACAGCAAAAAGAACTAAGTCAGCTCTAATACATGAAATGCTAATCTAAGACCAAGGTGCTGACAAAGTTCAGAAAGCTATCAGGGGTGTTTACAGGGGACATTTGTGCCAACTAAAAAGAAACATTATGCACCTAGCCTTAATAGAGTGAATTGGAGTTGATACACCATCAAAGCATCTCCTATTTCTTTCTGTCCATAAACACCAAAAAATACTAGCACGGATCATTCTCCAGACCTGTTTGATGGATTTATCAACTTTCCATGTATTCCAGTTTCTAAAGGCTTCCTTGGTGCTCTGAGGCATGACCCCCAGTTGAGTCCAAAAAGTGAGAGAAACATGTTCCACACATCAGCAGCTACTGGACAGTGTAGAAACAAATGGCTGTTGGTTTCTTCATTGTTCTGACACATGTACCATCTATTTACAATCTGGAAGCTTCTTTTCCTTATATTATTTCAAAATTGTGCTTCTGTTTTTTTAACATATGAAAATGGTGGAATGCACAAAGAGGCCTAGTGGTCAATGAAGTGGATTGAGAATCGTGAGGTCTCAAGTTCAAATTTCAGCGGACAAAAAACACTAGGTTTGATATATCCACTTAAGTTTTAGCGGGCAGAGTTATCTGTTACTTGTACTGGTGGGAGATAGCAATTAAATTAACCATAATATTAATTTGAATAATATATGCTTAAATAAACCATAATGTTGATTTGAATAATATGCTTAGATTAACCATAATATTGATTTCTTCCCATCTCCCACTAGCATAGGTACCTGGTCACTCTACCCACCAAGGTTTAGGTACATGCGAAGAAATTACCCAGCGTTTAATTTTTTTTTTCCTCTGCTGGAATTTGAATATGAGACCTCATGACCACTAGGCCACACCCTTGGGTGATTGGTGCAGAATTCTCACTCCAGTGAGTGGAGCTAGGACTAACTAAGAGCTGGTTTATATTCTGTCCATGTTTATTTTCCTCTTCACATAAGATTGCTGAGAGAAATTGGAGCTCTATTTGGTTGTGGAGTTCAGAGAGAGAAACTCTACTTTCATTTTTGCTTTTTTACTCCACTGAAACAATTGGGTTTATTTGATTTTCCTTTAAAAAGTTGGTTCATTCAGTTTGCTTGACTGTCCATGTTACTTGTGTTAATGGTTGTTCGGTTAGACCCAGATGTATTTTGGCAAGTCTACTTGATAAGTACACTTATTTTGTGACCTTTATGACTTTGCGTATTGTTTTTGGTCGCATAAAGTTTGTTGGTGCTGTGTCTACTAGATCTAGTAAGGTGCCAATCTTGTTATCAATTTTGTCTGTGGATTAGCTCGTTCTTGGATGATGTGATATAGGTCCTAAGCAGGTACTTTCATGCATGGCATGCCTTTGACTAAAGTCTAGTTTATATGTCGAGCTTGTCTTCTCTCCTTGTTATTGGTTTGATTTGAGGATGGATTGCATGTCAAGCTATGTCACTAGGAGTATCCGGTTCTAAAATTGTCGGTTTTTGTTGTATTCAGTGTGTAACTATTCTATGGAAACAGTAGTACATGTTTAGATGGAAAAATTAGCACTCTTTGCTCGTTGGATTTGTTGAATAGTTATAAATAATTCGGTTCCCAGTAGTAGTTAATTTTGCCAAATTCAAGATAGCTTTTTATATTATGTGTATTTCTTATCCTATAAAAAGGATGTTTATGTGTTTTCTCTTGTATTTTCTGTTATTATTTACATTGTTCTTTTGGTTAACAGATGTCTACTTTAGATATGGACTTTTAAAGGAGGGTAGGAATAACAAGCATAACGTTAGTGCAGAAAAATATCTAGTGATGTCAGTTGACTACTTCTGTGTATTCTTTCAAGATACTGAACAGATAGAAACAGCAGATTGTGCTGTCCAAGTTATACATGTTAATTTGTTGATCAAGCTTATAAGTTGAAGTCAAGATTTTAAATCCTGGAGACTCCATATAATTACAGTGTTCTTCTACCAGGACTTGGTGCTGCGTCTTGATGTCTCCAGGAAACTGAAGGAACACAGAGGTAGGGTGAATACAGTTAGTTTTAGCGCTGATGGTGACATTCTCGTATCGAGCTCTAATGACAGGAAGGTCACACTCTGGGACTGGGAAACTGGGAAAACTGTTCTCTCATTTCATTCAGGTCACGATGACTACGTTTCTCAAGCAAAGATCATGCCCCACACTGACGATCGAAGCACTGTCACTTGTGCTGCCGATGGACAGGTAACTACTTGAGAGTTGTGCTTTTCCTTCTTGACTATGTTCCATGTAGGTGATCTTCTCCCTATGAACTGGCTGATTCTTCACCTTACACATTGCGGTATCTCCTTCTCCCTAAAGGGGATATATTTTTCCATTTGATTTTAGAATCCTTTTCAATCTTTTCAGCTGGAGTCTTTCCCCTGTAAATGATATTATTCCCCTCTTAGATTTCATTAGCTCTCTCTCAATGGTTTAGTAGCCAGTGCCTTTTGCTCTTGGTTAACTCCATGCTCTAGAATGGTTTTTTGTATTAAGAGTTAACCAGGTTTTCTATTGTAACCTTTTGCATCTTATTGATGCCTATAATGCAATACCTTACTTAATCCAAAAAAAGAATCCTTTTCAATGTTATGAATATATTGAATAGCTAACAATGCAAGTTTGTTACAATACCCAGTAAGAAAGAATGTAATTCTATTCTTAGAAGTTGCAAGTTATTATACTCATTGTAGGTGAGACGAGCGCAAATTCTAGAACGTGGCTATGTGTCAACCAACTTGCTGGCAAAGCATCAAGGGCTAGCTCCGAAATTGGCAATTGAACCCGGAAGCCCCAATATCTTTTACACGTGTGGGTATGATGGATTAGTTCAACATGTGAGTTATGCTTAATTTCTAAATTTTGGTTCCAGTTTTATGTTAAGCTATGGATGGTAAACAACAGTTTTTGATATCCTCATAGATCAGACCTCTTGAAATAGGAACATTTTTAGTAACATGGACGGCATGCATGTGTGGTGTTCATGGTCATAAAAGAGCATGAAAAATAAACATCTTATTCGTTTTTATTAAAGAGGCTGAACTAATATGGAAACCATTTGATAGTATTTATGATATTGAAAAATCACAGGCAAAAGGAAGAATGTTTTCTTCTTGCAACTTTATATTCTTTAAACCTCTTAAGTTGTTTATTGCTTATTATTTTTCAATTAATATTGGTTGAATTTGTATAGTAAAGTTTGTGATGTTGTATTGTTAGTGTTAGAAATATGCTTTAGAAGCTGAAAATAGTAAAATTATTTTACTGTTTCAGCTTAAGAGTTATTTACTGCAGTAATTTAGTTTGAATTTGAAATAATTTTGAACTAGTCT